ATCTCTAGGCACTATAAAGAGATCTGGATTTCTTGTTTTCTGTTTAATCAGTCTCCTAATTTTTAGGTGTTTTTCCTAAGGTAAATAAATTTAAACATGTGGGTTCCATCTGGAAGCTTCTGATTTGCATCTATTTTAAATGTTACAACATTACAGGTACTTTCCTATTTTACAATGCTTACATTTCAGTCTAAATCATGGTCATCTCTTTGGTTGCTTGCTCTTTCTCTGGCTGATTCCAAGACTGTCCTGGTGTTTTGTGAAATCAGTAATTTAGATATTTATTGTGCATAGATAGGCCCAGTCTGCACCAAGATAAGTAAAATCCCACCATTATTACAAGGACATTTCTATGCGTGCCTTTCTAACTCTTTTTCACAATCTGGGATCCTTCTCATTGATTATTCTCACTCAGCCAGTGGTCACTCAACAGATCACTCTTTCGATCAGTTGAGCCACAGCAGAGTTCTAGATCTAATTTACATTTGTGGCCAGATATTGCTACCCATCGTTGCCGTCTGCAGGAATGTGATCTTCCAGTGTTTCCTGGATATTAGATGTGACGTATATACTTTTATTAAAAAAGAGCAAGAGCTTCGCTAGCATGTCTTTCCTTGTCCTTTCTCTATCCCTGCTTCATCATGTTTGCTATAGCAACTTAATCTTTGCCTATTCATAACCAGGTACATTTAATTCCCCCTTTCCTCAGAGGGTTCTAGATCTGAAATAAAGAAAAAATAGGCACCTAAACCATAATAATTTAGTATTGATGTCATCTTGAAACTTTTATGGCTTAATGATGATCTAATATGTGCATTCTGGGATACATCAGTTCTAGTTTTTTCCTTGTTTTACCTCTATGTTGAACTCTTTAATCAATTGCAAACCAGGAATTGACTAGATAAGTCATAATTACTTTGCTCATTTGCAAAATCATTTCTAGCTTCTTCAGCAAACATCGTTAAATGGTCCCTGAATTAGTCTACAGTGGAAATACAATTAGTTTTTAGGAAAAAAAAATGGCCAATTTTAAGAACAAGCGGCACACTTTTTACAGAGCATCAGAGAAAAGCTCAAGAGAGAAAGTAGGTTATACATCAAGACAATGAGACAAAACACAGAAGTAGTACAGTGAAATGGTGATTAAAACAGAAGAAAATTAGTGTTTTACATTAATGACCAAGTCAACATCCTGATCTTATTAATCTTTCAGAAATGTGCACAGACCTGAAGCCTGGAGTTCATGCAAGGAAACTCACCAACATCTTTATATCTATTGTCGGAAAAACAGAAACAATTCTGGTTTTTTTGCAGTCTTTTTCAGCTTTGGGGCTTTTAAAGTCACTGTCATCCTACAAACGTGTTCTTATTTTCCTATTTGTATGTTTTTAAATTTATGTTAGTGATTGTCTAATTGCATATCATTTTTTAGCATTTTGAAATTGTTATTTCTAAATATTTCTTTAAAGGCAGGCCTTTATTCTTGTAGTTTTTGTGTATTAGGCAATGTGTCCAATCTCTTGAGAATATCTATATTGGCTTCCTTTTTACTTAGGACTTCCTATCCTCAGTATCACCTTTCCTGATCTGTGGTATTTATTACTACAAAGCTTCTATTACTGTGATCTTTTAGTTATTTAGGATGTCACCCTTTTAAACTCTTTTAAAACCATCTTAATATTTTTCCCTTTGTTTAGTTTATCCTCTATATATATTAGATGTTCATTTCATTGAAAATTTTCAGATAACTACAAGTTTAAATGGCTTCTTTTATGATGCGCTGTAATTACTGTAATCTTTAAAAACAGCTTTGGAATGGAGCACAAAAAGCAATACATAAATATGTAGTTAAATGGCTAGAAAAAGAGCAGCATAGATTCTCTATTTTGCAATTAAGCTTAGTGGACCCTTACTGCGTTTATTATGGACATCAGGCCTGTGAGGCAAAAAAATAAAAAATAAAAATGGAAATACTAGCTTTGGAGATGAAGGTAATCATCCAATCATCATTTACTGCCATCTGGCTGTAAGTCAAGATGATATCAGTTCTTAAGTGTTTTTTGTTAATCAGTTTGGCTATCATCTGCTAGAAGATAGGTGATCTGGACTACCCATGCCATCTGTAGGTATTCTGTGATACAAATCATTTTGTATGGATTCAGTTGTGCAGATCATCCTCCACTTACAACTTTTTGTTTAACTACTGCTCTGAGTTATGATGGCACTGGAAAAATGACCAGTCCTTGCACTTACAACCATTACAGCATCTCCATGATCAAAATTCAGGCACTTGATAATTAATAAGTATTTATTATACTTGCCTCATCCCTGGGTCATGTGTTTGCCATTTGAAATCTTCCTAGTATTCTTCTGACAAGCAGAGTCAGTGAAGGAAGCCAGATTCACTTAACGACCATATGATTAGCTCAACAACTGCAGCAAAAAAGGTCATAACATCAAGCACAACTCACTTAACAGCCTCATGGATATTCCTCTTCCAGTTGTAATCATAAGTTAAGGCCTATCTGTATTTTCAGATGATAAATGACTTATTTTATAATAAATGCATATTTGCCTGTCAGTCATTTGTTTTAATAAGTCTCTTTATCTATTTGGATAGTTGCTTAACAGGGGCAACCTTAATTTCTGGTGATAATATGAAATACACGACTTGCTTCAGTTTGTATTCTTCTGCATGCATAATTTTTCTGAAGCTTTTTTGGAAGCTTTTTTAAAAATTCAGAATAGTGGGGGATAAAGGAGAAACCTTTGTGGTAATCCCTAAAGAGTTAACAGGACTGCTTGGTACTCATTAAACTTTCCATTGCAGCTCAGAGGACAAAATGCTTGTTGGAAAGTGATTTTTGGAGTGACAAATGCTGTTCTTTCATAATATATGTGTTTCAGATCTTATATATACTAAACACGTTTTCAATTTCATATAGATACAATATGATAGTGTAAATATTTTTTTGAACTCTGATATTAATCATAAAACATAATTTCTGTTATTTTCCCCTTTATTCAACTGTTTAAGTACAATTTCCCTAGCTTTTGAGAAATACAAATTATTAGCACTTCCCTTAAAGGTGGCCAGGTTACTAGATAGCTAATAGTTGCTTCTAGTGATCTGGTGCAGTAATTCTGTACTCAGTTCTTTACCCTGTTCTTCTAATTCTACTGTTTCCCTGAAAATACAACTTACCGTGAAAGTAAGCCCTAGCTTGATTTTTTTACATGTGCTTCCAATATAAGCCCTACCCTCCAAAATAAGCCCTAATTAAGATCCCGCCCATCCAGAGTGCATGGGTAAAATTAAGCTAGGGTGGGAATGGGGGCGTGAAGCTGCCCTACCACTTACCTTGGGACCGTTGTAGCCAGGCCTCGCACACCCTGACAACTGCCTTGCCGGCCCATTTCTTCTGCAGCCCACAAGGCTGGCAAGGCTTTCCTGAAGGCCTCTGGAGCTGACAACAAAGCTCTGGATCGATGCAGAGGCCTTCAGGAAAGCCTTGCCAGCCGCAGAAGTTCCTGAAGGCCTCTGACAGTGAAAAGGAGGCTGGGGGCGACTCATGCAAGTGAGGTTAGTCAGTGGGTGACATCTCCTGAAAGTAAGACTTGGTGCCTTTTTTGGTGGCAAAAAAAATATATAAGGCAGGGTCTTATTTTCGGGGAAACACAGTAGTTTATTGTATCTTAAGTCATGGCATTGAGTCATGTCATTTTTGCAAATTTTGCATTTTATGGATAGCTATTTTGCATTTTGTATCTGCCATAGATTTTTTTGCATTAACTCTATTCTACAGTAATAAGTACTCAGAATATAATTAAAGTCAAAGAGACAACATAGTGAAGAACAATGAAAAAAATGACATTATGCTGGATATTGGCCATTTGTGAAGGAGCTAAGATGGCATATGTGCTAGATATATTTGCTCTGATTGGGAACAGATTGGAGTTGCTTAACCATGCAAAATCCATGATTTCCAGTTTGATATGCACTGAGCCCTAAACCATGATTTACAAAGCACAATGACAGGATTCCATACTTCGTTAAGCCAAGCAAAGCTACATTGTCTTAATCAGTGGAACAACTTGCCTTTAATCAGAGAAACAACTTGCCCTTAATGTCTATGATAATGTCTATGATATGATAGGAGATTCTCAGTCATCTACGTCATGGTTCTTGAAAAAGCACCTTTGGGACAACTTGCCCTTAATCAGTGGGACAACTTGCCTCCAGAAGTTGTAAATGCTCCAATACTTAAAGTTTTTATGAAGAAATTGGACAACCATTTGTCTGAAAAGGTATAGGGTTTCTTTGCCTGAGCAGGGGGTTGGACTAGAAGACCTTCAAGGTCCCTTCCAACTCTTGTTATTCTTTTCTGCTATTCTGTTATATTGCTTACTGTTAATGCTATCCATGAACAGCTGGACTGCGTTGCAGTTTGACTGAGATAGGAAAGCCTGGTGAATCTTCTCTCCCAGTTATTAATAGATAAAAGGTTCAAAGCATAGGACAGCACAAATGTTATTCAGTGGAACTTCCATCCTTCTTTATTGTTATTCCAGCTGGGCAGGTCTAAAAAGAACTGAAGTCCAAATATACTGATTATGGTGAGTCATCTGCTGCTTATCTCTAAATAGGAAAATCCTAAATAGGAAAAACAAAAGAACAATATTCATATGCTCTATAACTTTGCAGAATGCAGACTTTGGACTTTCTTTTAGTGCTGAATGTTTGAATTTTAACTATGCTGGCTGGAGAATTCTGGGAGTTGAAGTCCACGAGTCTTAAAGTTGCCAAGTTTGGGGACCCCTGGCATAGTGCATAGTAGAAAAACAATAAACAATAAACAGTAGAAAAACAATAAACGGAAAGGGACTCTCAAGTTTCCTCAAAATATTGTTCAAATTTTGAAACATAATTGTAGTTGCAGGGCTTGCGTGTTTTGTAATTCTGCTGTTCATCAATTCATTTGTTTTCTTTCTTCCTTTAGGTATCTCATGCAGTAGCTAAACTTGTATTAGTTAGCTTTCATTGGCAAATCTCAGAAATTTTGGAAAGGTAAGCATATGATCAATCGGTAGATATGTGCAAATTGCCTTTGATGCTTTACTATGAAAGCAGACACAAAATATTGCTCCTTGTATTAGACTCTTGTAAAAAAATATTTAAAAAAAACCCCACTGTATGTTTGGGTCAGAACATGATAAAATACCTCTCTCTCTTCTCCTCACTTTATGGATTTGCTTGTAAGGTTGACGTAGTGAAATCTATAATGTGGGTTATTCCCAGAAATGAAATGAGTGAGAAAAAAATGACAAGGACTTATTTTATTGCCTTGTGTTTAAGATTTTGAAAAATTAATTCAATTAATGTATCCTCACTGACCATAATTGAGACTGGGAATTTTGTCACTAAGTGATATGGTCATAAAGTGAAATGTGACCATGCCAACTTATACGGCGTCAGTTCCAGCTGTGGTCATGATGTGAATCATCACAGGTACAACTTTACTTGACTGCAAATTGCAACTTCCTGCCAATTTCCTGCTTGATTTTGCTTGTTGGAAGCTGGCTGTGAAAGTCGCAAATGGCAATCATGTGACTTACAAGACACTGTGACCATTGTAAATGCGATGGATAACCATTTGTCTGAAATGGTCTGGACTAGGGTTTCCTGCCTAAGTACGGGGTTGGATTAGAAGACCTCCAAGGTCCTTTCCAACTCTGTAATTCTATTCTATTCTAATGCATGCGAGTTGCCAAACTTCCAAATTGTAATCAGGTGATTGCAGGGATACCGCAGCAACTACAACTTTGAGGACCTGTGGTAAACTACCTGTTTCAGCACTGTTGCAACTTTGAACGGTTACTGAATGGTGGTCAGTAAGCAAGGACTCTCTCTACTTACTATTAAGAGACATAATAGCTAAAGGGCATTAAAGTCATCTGACCCTATATGGAAGGGGAATGTGATATCTCTGGCTACACATTCCACCATTCTGAGGTTTTGATGTGAAGCTCTCTCTTTATCAGCCATCAGAATTGATTGAACTTGTGTTTCAGATTATTTCCAATTTCATTTGATTCTTCAATTGATCTCATTTTTACAAATGTCCAATCCATGGATTAAATGGATTTTTAAGAACTGATATAATATTTGCTGGTAGAAGCACATTAGAAGAAAACCCAGAAATTGCAGTTGGTTATAGAATGCAGAGACCACATTTTTTTGTCCTGTGCTTCAGATGAAAGCAAGTGACACTGTCCTGCTCTTACTTGCATTAGTTTTCCATAGGTTTCCAAGTTAGATTCAAGGCATACATCTCCATATAGTTGAGACTCATTTAAATGAATAATTGTCCCTTATATGGTATATTCCAAAAGCTACAATCTGGAATTTGGGAATTCCTTTCTCAACCTGCTTCTCTGACTAAATTTAACGGTAACCCAGAAATGTAGTTGTTCAGCTGAAAATTTCCTCCATTTTAGATTTTGTGATGTTTATCAACAGCATTTTATGCCAATGTCTATGTTTTTACGTGTTTTTTAAAATTTACTAGTATAAATTGCTTTATGATATTGGTTATTTTGCATTAGATTTTATTATAGGTAATATTTTTGTTAACATCCATGGGCTGGTTTTGTCAGAAAAAGTTGATTATTTATTGATTTAAGATTATGACCTAATGAATTCATTAATTTCTCAGGTGTGGCCCTATGTCTGTCTAAAGTTTAATTTTTTTCTGGCTCTCAGGCACACATCTAATTCAGTTCAATTACTAGTGGAAGCAAGGGTTCAGCCTGCCTCATTCAAACATGTGAGTAAATAGATTTTCTAAAGTGCTTGGTATTAAAAACAATATTTATAGGCCGCCAAGAGTCATTCTGGTTAGTGAGGTAGGTAGCATGTACATTTATTAAATAAATAAATATTTTGAATACATGTAATTCAAACATGCTAAGCATTATTCTTTATTCCAAATAAGATCGATTACAGTGCTGGGATAGTTTCTGCTCAAAGCATCTTTGTATTTCTGTTGTATTCTAAATAGAATTGTGCAACTTGAAAGACTATTTTTGAAGTTTTTGAAATAGGACAAAATAATTGCCATAGTTATAATAATATGCCAGTATTACAAAGTAATAGTGTTTCATCTCATAAAATGATCTTGCTTGTTATGGCTGGAATTATTATTTTTTATAGAGCTTTGAATGTGTGTAGGTGTCACTATTGATTGTAAATCAGCTCCTTACCATTGTATCTATTGTATATAGGTCATCCATGTTTAATGATCACTCATTCAGACGTACAATGGTGCAGAATGAACAATGGATTGAAATTCTTTATCACAGCATCCTCAGCTTGTGATTACAATCTAGCAGCAAGCCATGGTCATGTGATCTCAATTTCATATATTCCCTGCCTCCCACAAGCAAAGTCAATGGGGAAATTGGCAGGAAGTCAGACACTGCAGTCATTTGAGGTTCTTGCTTAACAACTAGGACTGCCTGAACCTCCATCATTAAGTGGCATGGTCACCTGATGTTGTGTTTTACAACCATGGCACTTGGTGACAGCAATCCCAAGGACTACCTGTAACTTATAAATATGTTTATATGCGATACATAGCATAAACTATAACCGCATCTCATTGAACATAGTAATTTTCTAGGGTTTGATTCAGTGATGGTATTCTACCAGTTTGGCCCGGTTGTGGCGTACCGGTAGCACCAAAGATCAGTGGAGACCGAACCGGTTCTCTTTGAGGAGCTGCTGTTGGGCCCACCCGCCTGCCCGGGCTCCCATACTGACCTTTATGTCCTGCTTTTGGAGCGCAGCTGCTTTGCACGGCAGAGTAGATTGCCACACATCAGCTGCTGAAGCAATAGGGAGAGTGCAGGATTGCAGGAGTTGAGTCAGAAAGCCTCTGCAACTGTGCAAAGTGCACATTTGGCGTATGCGCACAAAGTATTTGCGCGCATGTGCAAAGCGCGCCCACCAAGCCACACCCACCAAACTGGTGGTAAACTATTTTGAAACCCACCCCTGGTTTGATTAACACAGTTCCTAGAAGAAGGATAGGCAACCTTCAGGTGGCATGTGCCCTCCCACTCAGCACCCTGAGTTGACTGTTAGAATTTAGTGGCAAAATGGCCAAGCTTTGGTGATGTTTTATTTGTTTAATATTCAAAACTAAGATTGGGACGCAAAAGAACATGAGTTTCTAGAAGTGAGACTTTATTTCTATTCTTACCCACCCACCATCCCCAAACTAACTAACTAAATAATGAAATTTTGGGTTGTTCTTAGAATTTGAGGATGTTTTAAGGGTATAAATCAAACTGGTCTATAGGTCATCTGTTCCCATCCCCATAATTTCAGCTCTGAAAAAGACCTGTCAGGAAAAAAAGAATGCCATCCCTTACATATGATGTTACCAATTGGAGGGCCTCGTGCTGTTCTTTGGAAAGTTGGAAGCCTCCAACCCCCAACATTGTTTCTCTTGTTTTGTAAAACTGGTTTAGCATAATACAGCTTTATGTACTATGCTTTGTTACATGTGAGCGATATATATTTACAGGTAATCTTTGTAAAGTTAATGGAAGCGTCATTAACTTTATCTTGATTTGGTAAAGTTGTGGAGCTGCCTTCCTGGTCTCTATATGTTGCAGTTTCTTCTCCAGTGGGAGTTGCCCATTTTGAAATTAAGCTGATGAGGGGAGTAGCCACTTTAATGTCCTTTGTGTAGCTGTTGTGGTATGCATGTAACACAAGGAAGGAACTGCTTATTCCTGAACATAAAACAGAACTGAATTTGAAATATCGCAATAGGTCATAGCTTGTCTAACCAATCTGTTGACATTTAAAGGCATTTACTTTATTTAAACAGGCCATTATAATTCGACTTGTTTACCAATAATTTCAATCTCTCTCTGTCTCTCTCTGTCTCTCTCTCTCTCTCTCAAACAGGCCGTGGTACATTCCTCCCAGCACTGTGCAGTTTGCATGCAGTTGGTTCGAAAGGAAAACCTATTATCTCTAGCCTGTCAGCATCAGTTTTGCCGCAGCTGTTGGGAGCAGCATTGTACTGTACTTGTCAAAGATGGAGTGGGAGTTGGTAAGTGCAAAGCAATGGGTCATTTGGCTCTTTTGGGGTACACTGATATCTCTACATACTGCTTTCTGCTGCTGGTAAATCTTCTCATAATCTCAGAGATGGAGCAGTTCAAGGGGAACGTCTTGCATTCTTTTTAAGTCTCCTTTTGATAGCAGCAGATCTTATCTTGGGGTGCGGGATTGTCAATAAATGTCTCCTGGCCCTTTGGGTTGTCTCCCAGAAATTTATATCCTACATTCTTTCAGAATGGACTGTTCCCACTGAATTCTTTTTCAGCTGCCTCTGATCAAGAGGGATAATGTTTTCCATTGTTGAATACTTCTGACAATAGTCGTTTCAGAGCCAACTTTCCACAAATTCTGGGAAATTGGATAGTATTTGAAGATCTTTTTTAAAACGAATAATGCCCTCTGATGTCATTCAAGCCTCTGTTTTTGACAATAGCCTTTTTGGCTTTTTCCCCCCGCACTAGGTGTCTCCTGCATGGCTCAGGATTGTTTGCTTCGGACCCCAGAAGATTTTGTGTTTCCACTGCTACCTAGTGAGGAGCTGAAAGATAAATACAGACGCTACCTCTTCAGGGACTATATTGAGGTATCATTTGTAATTTTGTGTTCAATGCTCTCTGTTCTATCTATGCATTAAGGAAATAACCCCAGATCAGTTTCTGTGAATGTGTCTGTAAGTTGTTACCTGTAAGCTTAAGACTGCATCGTGCAATTCCTTAAAAAGTTTTATTTGCTTTTAGAAAGTTCTGTTCTGTTTGAAGGGCTGTAATTCTAGCATTGGGAATTGGAAGCCTGCTTTGCGATAGCTTTGCTTTTCCCTCCACAAGTGGATCAAGTCAGGGAGGTGGAGGGGGAATACAGGTCCTCTTGGTGGCCCCTGTCACGTGGAGCAGGGGTCCCCAACCGCCGGTCCGCAGACTGGTACCGGGCCGCGGAACAAGCCTTACCGGGCCGCTGGTTGCTGGGCGCCGCCATCTTTTTTGACGAAAAAGTGCTTCCGGTGAGGTCACCGGAAGCACCTTTTCGTCAAAAAAAGATGGCGGCGCCCAGTTGACGCCGGTACCAGGCCGCGGCGCCCAGCTGATGCCGGAACCGGGCCGCGGCGTCGAAAAGGTTGGGGATCACTGACGTGGAGTGTTTCAGGAGTTGGTCCTTTTTCCCTATCCTTCATGTACTCGCTGGGAGTGATTATCTGATACAGGTAATCCTCAATTGATGGCCATTTGTTTAACGGTGGTTCCAAGTTAAAAGTGTCCTCAGAAAAAGTGATTTATGACCCTTCCTTAAAGTTACCACTGTTGTACCACTCCCATGGTCACAGTGATTGTAAATTAGGTGTTTGGCAACAGGCTCACTTTTATAAGGGTTGCAGTGTCTTGCTGTCAGACGATTGTGATTTGAAACCTTCCTGGCTGGCTTCTAACAGGCCAAGGGAATTGTGAAAACGGGATTTGCTTAACCATGTGATTCACAGTGGCCAAATAATTCACCTATGACCACTATAACAATGGTCGTAAAAATCAGGTCCAGTCATGTGGTGACGTATTTGACAATTGCATTGCTTAGTGACTCAACTTCTGGCCCCAGTTGTGGTTGAGCATATACTAGCTGTAAATCCAGCCCGTTCCTTTGTTTACATTCTCTTGATAAGACCAAAAATGAAGAGGAAATAAAGCAGTTAGCGGGAGAGTTAAGTGGGAGTGAGTAGTCTTTGGGAGAGAGACTTAGGAGGAAACCTGACGCTGGGAGAAGGCCAGGATTGTGTTGTATCTACCGATTGTAAATAACTTCACTTATAGTTTTTTTAAAAAGGCGTAAAACCTCAGCTGCCTTGTTTTCTGTGTCAGTTATCCTCGCAAACCAAAATACACCCCCAATTCTGAAATTCGGTGTCAGTCACATTGTAACATACTGCAATGCATTCTACATGGGGCTGCCTTTAAAGGCTGCTCAAAGCTACAGCTAGTTCCAGAGTACATAGGCCATATATGTTGACCGTCGCCTGATGGCTGGGAGCATGTTACACCTATCGTCAGGCCTTTGCCATGGCCACCAGTTGACTTCTGGAGATATGCCAGTGACTTTAAAACTCTGTGCAGGTAAGTCAAGTTACAGTCACAATTGACCCCAAAATTTATTTTGCCGGGTGAAACGTTTGTTAAGTGAGTTTGACCCGTTTTATGACTTCTCTTGCCACAGTTGTTAAGCAAATCATTGCATTTGTTAGGTTGGTAACATGGTTGTTAAGCGAATCTGGCTTCCCCACTGACTTTGCTCGACAGAAAGGGATCACATGATCCCAGGGCCCAGCAACGGTCATAAATATGAACCAGTTGCCAAGCGTCTGAATTTTGATTATGTGACCATGGGGATGCTGCAAGGGTCGTAAGTGTGAAAAATGGTCATAAATCACTTTTTTCAGCGCTGTTGTGACTCTAAATGAACTGTTGTAAGTCGAGGACTATTTGTAGTTTTTAGCCGTAAAACTGCTTGCTATAATCAGAATTAGCTCTAGCTGTTAGCTCATTCCAGAGAAAACTGTTCCTGATTCCCCGCTTTGGGGAAGTTGTGCCCAGGAAGCCCTTCGTTTTGGTAGCAGAGTAGCCTACTCCCATGCTTTCCTTATATTTATTTCAAAAATAACTTTTTCTGGGAAGGCTTCCTTAAATGTTTTCCAGCGGAAAAAAAACAATTGGTCCTCCAAAAATAAAATCCACTTCACTTAAAACCATATACAGTTTTGTTTTGATTGAGTTCTCTAAAAGAATTTCTAAAGTGGACTTACAATGTTTTGTCCCACAGAGCCATTTCCAGCTGCAGCTCTGTCCTGGCGCTGACTGTCCTATGGTCATACAAGTACAGGAGCCCAAAGCCCGCCGAGTGCAGTGCAATCGCTGTAATGAAGTTTTTTGGTAAGGAAGTGACATTGTGCATTTGATGGGCGTAGAGATGGGAAGAATGGAAAATAGCAACAGCCTAAACCAATGCAGCAATGACAGAAGTGACTGTTGAATGGATGGAGTGCCATCCAGCTCCTTGGGTATAGATAGGTTTGAGAGTCTGGTGTGGCTTGAAGAAGCAGGCAGCAGATTAACTGTTTTGAAGATTAACCTGTGAATAGGTGAATTGCTGTATTATGGAGTTGTGAGAACAAGCGGACAACAAGAATTAATAAACCTCTGAGTAATTTACAAGGAATGAGCAGCAGTTATGCAAATCAACTCCATTCTGCAAAGGCCAGCTTCTAAAATAAAAGAGATTGAATGTGATAGGATAAGGGTAGTAAAAGTAGCATTTGCTAGTTGTACATATGATATGTAGCCTATGGATTGTATACCCTTCTTTAGATGATCCCACTATTTCACTGCTGTTTCTAAAAGCTAGTGGTATATATGGTCTGCACACAAAAAATGGAAACTGTCCCATGCTAATTTAAACACCAGCATCTGTAGAGGGTTTGTACTATTTTGGCTTTTTTCCAAGTGAAATAAAAAAAGGAATAGGGAATTATCAGTGTGGTATGGGATTTAAGATGCTGGACTAGGAGTCTCTAGTCCTTCCTTAGACATAGGAGCTAGCCAGGTGACTTTCAGCCAAACATTCTCACTCACTCTCCATCCTAGACAGGGAAATCCAAAAATACCTTATCTACCAAACCCACTCTAGGGCAGTGTGATAGATAACAGTCCATAACCTTCAGTGAAGAGGCTGCCATCCTGCACTGGATTTATTTGTGTTGATACTGTGATAATATTCCTCAGGATACTGTACTCTACTTTCTACTGTCAAATTCCGCTATTGAGTCAGATACATATAACTCCACTCAGTTTTTATGCAGAAATATTAGGAATGCAAGCTTTGCATATGGGTGCCATTGTCATTTTCAAATAGTATCTGCTTACAAGTAATAGATTTTCTTTAAACTGGACATACATTTGTTTTTGCTTAAGTTTCAAATGTCGGCAGATGTACCACGCTCCTACAGATTGTGCTACTATCCGGAAATGGCTCACTAAGTGTGCAGATGACTCTGAAACAGCAAACTACATCAGTGCTCACACTAAAGATGTAAGTGTATTGGGGAGGGGAGGCTTTTTATATTCGTAGTTTCAAAAAAAATCTCTGGTTATCAATGGAGGGGTTGGTCATTGAATTCTATGCCCTATATCTTAAGTCTTTCCTCTTTGCATCCCCTCTTTCCCCGCTTATCTTGCCATTTGCTACTTATCTCCCAAATAAACAAAAGCCAAAATGGAAAGTGGGTGAAGAGAAGAAATGATACTGTGAGTTCCAACCAGAAGTAATGTGAATGGACTCAGTTACAACAGTTACAACTACACATTGGAAGACCAGCTTGGGAACAAATGCTCTTGTAGAAAATCTGTGTTGTTGCTAATAGTCAACACTGACATGATGGCATATAATCAAGTTGCTTGATTATACATTTGCTCAAATGTATTGCATCTCCCCAAAGAAAAGATTAGATCATATGTTTCTCCCCTTCCAAGGTAATAAGAGAATTGTTATCCTGAGCAGAATATAAGATTAGAGGAATCATCTAAAATACGGGTGTCAAACCTGATTGCGTCATGTGACGTTACATGACGTATCATTTGCCTTTGCGGAGCCGGGGTGGGTGTGGCCTGTGCATGATGCACTTGGTCCCCGGGCCGCCAGTTTGACACCCTGATCTAAGATGCAAACTGAAAGAATGAGAAATTTTGTGACAGGCTAAATTCATTTTCTTGAGGAAAAATTTAAAAAGCCTACAAATATCCTATCAACATTTTATGGAGAGAAAGACTGGACATTACATTAAAAAAAAAAAACCTAAAAGGATTTGGATGGTAATATTAATAAAGACAGTATAAGTCAACCGAAAGAGGAACATTGCAATAGTATTGGATTGGTTAGGATAGGCATGAATTATAAAACATGAAGAGAAACACAAGACTTTTTGTTTTGTTTTGTTTTGTTTTGTTTTTTCCTCATCTGTTAAAATGGCCGGTTCAAAACCCTGTAGCTTCCAAGTGAAAAGTTTCCATTCTTTATTAAAATATGGCCCTAAAATTATATATATATTGAATTAAGGAGATATAATTGAAAGAAATGAAAAGAAGGCCCTTAATCATAGAGCAAGTTTTCTGTATGGAAGAAGGCCCACATTCAGTGTTGGCACTTCCAGGTGGTGCTAGGAAAGGCTTCTGTTTCATATAACTTGATAGATTAGTGGTTTGCTTTACAAAGCAAATTTCTGTGTTCCTATGAAGAGCAGGATGAAAACTCTACAATTACAGAAAGCAAATGGAGGCCAAATGGAGTGGAAACTTGGAAGGCATATATGAACATGGGGGAAACTTTTGTTACGATTCATGTTATTCTCTTATTTTCTTCTCAGTGTCCCAAGTGCAATATCTGTATTGAAAAGAATGGTGGCTGCAATCACATGGTGAGCATTTTCTAAATAATTAAGAATCACCTTAAATTTTTAGATGATTCTAAATTAAAACTTCATGGTTTGTTGTTAACAACTTCTTTTTTTTATCTCTGTTTCCTCCAGCAATGTTCCAAATGCAAGCATGGTAAGTGGGTAACAACTGAGAAAACATTTTCCCGTTCTTTGCTTTAAATATTATCCTGCTGATCCATTAAAGCATTTGCGGCCCAATGGTTACTATTGTAAGGGCTCGTTCAATAGCCTGCTCAGCACAGCCCTTAGATTGCTGTAGGTTTCCACAACATTGATGTTTTTCTGTTAACTTGCTTTTGCCTTCTTATCTCTTGCAGACTTTTGCTGGATGTGTCTAGGCGACTGGAAGACTCATGGCAGCGAATACTATGAATGCAGTCGGTACAAAGAGAATCCTGATATTGTAAATCAGAGTCAGCAAGCACAGGCCCGGGAGGCCCTCAAGAAGTACTTGTTCTATTTTGAGAGGGTAGGAGGCGTCTACTTAGCCAAAGCTAACTATAAACTTTTCAGGGCATCCTGCCTTGTGCAGAGCCACAAGGATTAATGTTAACAGGCCTATGGGATAAACATTACATTCTGTGATAACGGGATGACCACAAAACAAAATTCTGAATCATTAAGTTTATTTTCCAAGGCATAAATGTCTTCCTAGATAATTCTTGTAACAAGACTTTTTTCTTTATGGGATCCAGCAGAAATAGTGCTACACTTTTGTGTTTGGGCTGCTTCTTTTCAAACGTTGCCTCTCATAAAAGTACATTTGCCTGTCTTACATTATATTTGTATTCCTTGCCCCAGATATGCTTAAACCATTTTCTGTGCGTAACCAATTTTAAAAAGGTGAATTTCTAGTTTCTGCTCTTAGAAATAAGATATATGGATGAAATGTAGCAGGTGCTACGTGAGCTGATTGTTACTATTTTTTTTATTGCTTGTGGGTGCCTTCCCAATTACTCCCAGAAGTTGTGGGGGGGGGTGGGGGGGGGGGGGCAACCTCTCTGAAGGCACTTCTGAGGACAGAGAGAAACTTCAAGAGCCAATTGGATAATTTCTCACTTTGTTCTGTCAATAGAAATAACCTTATCGGTATCCCCACCCCCCCAAAAATCAGTCTGTTCCTTTTGTTTCCTTCTTAGCTTTTTTTTACAGTTTCTTTTGAATGGAGTGTAAATGTAGTTTATCCCTGTGTGTACATTAATGGCTGATTTGTCTGAATGCCAGGCATCCAGGAATTCCCTAATGATTAAAGCATATCCTTTTCAGCACTCCACACAGATAAGCGGGGATTAATATCAAACAGTTAAGCGATACCCTACTCAAGGAACTACCAAGGAGAGAACCACACCCTTACCCAAACTGGCAGAGCAATATAGTGTATGTAAACAAGGAGCAAAACCCACATTCACTGATGATATTACCTAGTTGGGTCAAGCAAACAACCAAACTCAGAGGGCACCAAGGACAATTACGTAGCTAACCAGATATTCCAGATATAGTTAAATAATATTTGAGATGATCTTTTAAAGGTGACAGTGCTCTTACAAAATAGCATTCAATAGATTGCACAACTATTTATTTTATTCAAATTTGCTAGCTATCTGTGGGCAGCATATATAACTGGAAAATCCATAAAACAGATAAAACATTAAACCAAACAGCCTAGCTAGACTAAATCTTACAAACAACACAGAACAGCCCCCTCCGCTACCCAAGTACAGTTGTACATTAATATATCAATCTCAGGCCCAGGACCAAAGCCGGGTTTTTAAGAGCTTTCCAGAAGTCTAGGAGAAAGGGAGCTACTCTTGTCAATCTGAGGTCTTCCACATTCCTCAGCTACTACTAGGTATATGCAATAATTATGCCATAACAGGTACGTAGCTTGAGGTTTGCAGGTGTGGATGGGAAGATGAGTGTCATATAAGAGGATCTGGAGCAGTGAAAGAAGGAACTGGAATATTGGAGGAGAGCTGCCATTTATAGCTGTGTGCTTCCTGTCTGGGTTGACCTTTGCTTTCCAGCTCTGTAATTGAACTAGCCAATTACACCACATACCAAGTGGGAATGCTAGGATAAAGGAATTGCCCTGCCTTTTTTTAGAGCCCACTGACAAAAAGCAGCTTGCTTTTAAAAGATGATTGGTGGGCTTTTCCCCCCCTATCATAACACATCTTTTTGATACTAGGAAGTACTTAATATGGAAAGCTATCCCTTTCTGCTGGATCCCAGCTTGGGTTTTTTTTGCTTGCTTTTCCAATAAACATGTTCATTTTTATTCCTTTTCTCCATGTGAAGTGGGAAAACCACAACAAGAGTTTACAGTTGGAGGCACAGACATACCAGAGAATTCAAGAAAAAATCCAAGAAAGAGTCATGAACAACTTGGGAACATGGATAGACTGGCAGTATTTACAGAATGCAGCAAAACTCTTAGCCAAGGTAATTCAATCTGTAACTCAGCTTTGCCAAATACCTGGGGTGGGGTGGGGGGTAGGTTAGCTATATTGCTGTGTTCGTGGAAGTGGTGGGATTCAAATATTGTTGCCACTGGTTTCGTGGGTGTTGCTTGGTGGGCGTGTTTTGCGTGCATGCACACACTTTGCGGGCATGTGCATGCCAAACATGCACTTTGCTCAGGCGCAGAGGCGTTTGCGCAGGCGTAGAGGCATTCTAACTTGCCTCCTGCAAGCCTGCATGATCCTGGTCGCTTCAGCAGCTGCCACGCAGCACTATTCTGTGCCGCGCAAAATAGTTGCGCTTCAAATTCAGAGGATAAAGGTGAGTATGGGAGCCCGGGCGGGTGGGTGGGCCCAACAGCAGAGTGGCGGAGAGAACTAGTTCGGTCTCCGCTGCTCATCGTTCCTACCGGCTTGCCAGAACTGGGCCAAACCAGTCGAATACCACCACTGGTTGGTGGGTTATATAGCTATGGAACACTAACTCAGATTTTAAAACAACAACTAGGTGCAATGTATATTATCAAAAGAGTTGCTGTGTGTTGTTCAGTATTCTGAACTGAACCTACAGCTGAAAACTAGACTGAGTTCACTTGGGATTGGTTGAGATGTAAGAGTACATTCTATACTTTTGGAGTTCTTGATGCTGCTGCTGCTATTATTACTACCACAAACCTAGGAAAAGAGGAGCTCTGCTGTCTCCTGCTTTCATGAACACAGTTTACTTATGAACTATAGTGGCGCAGTGGTTAGAATGCAGTATTGCAGGCTACTTCTGCTGACTGCAGTTCGGCTGTTTGATTCTCACTGGCTCAAGATTGACTCAGCTTTCCAACCTTCTGAGGTCGGTAAAATGAGGACCCAGATTGTTGGGGGCTCTGTAAACCTCTTAGAGAGGGCTGTAAAGCACTGTGAAGCAGCATATATATCTAAGTGCTATTGCTATTGCTATTACTGCAAGTTCCTATCGTGTCCTGTGTAAATAGATGCAACTGCTAACAGGGGCTGCTTTTTCATATCATAATACATATGGACTGCTGTCCCTGAAATTTGGAGAAAAGCAGCAGATAGCTCAACTGGCCTAACTCATGAATACAACCTGCTAATCTTACTTCTTTTTTAAAAAATTGCAGTGTCGTTATACACTACAGTACACCTATCCATATGCCTACTACATGGAATCTGGTCCCAGGAAGAAATTGGTAAGACAATCTGCATATTGAATGATAACTAAAATTCTTAAAGAATGGCAAAAAAAAAACCCTCCTAAGTTGGAAAATTATACAAATCCATATCTAAGAATTGCCTAAAACCACATGGTAGCTTCCATTTACTGAAGTTGAGCCTTTTGATTCTTTGGAGGTGATGGGAGGGGAGGCCCTTGGAAGCCACAGATAAAATATTGCAAGCTTTAAAGGGGAAGAAAGAATACAGTTCTAATAAATTAAGGGATTTTGTTTTGGGTCTCGGGATATCTATGTGTATGCCTTAAATAGCATGTTAATGGGCAAATGACCTTTCATAACTATGATGAGTACTGAAGAAAACATTAAATATTTGTCACTAGTACATCGTAACTCTACTAGTTTTTAACCAGGCTTTCAAAAATTGAAAATTCTTACAAGCCTTAATGAATATTAGTACTAGAAATATGGTCTAGGATAATAAAGAACAAACATGCCCAAGTCTAATCAATTACAAACAAGGATTTGTCCATCCTTAAATTTCATATTCTTTTATGTTGCTCAAGCTGTTATGACTGCTTGCAGTCATTGAATTGGCTGCCGTGTTTCCTTACTTTGAAATGCTTCTGCTATAGATGCAAATAGTGGTACCAATGTATTATTCATCTGTGCAGCAAATTTGGCTTTTCCTATATTAATCCTGGTGTTTTTTTTCCTAATGTTTTGTTTGATTTTCAGTTTGAATACCAACAGGCTCAACTTGAAGCAGAGATTGAAAATCTCTCATGGAAGGTGGAAAGAGCAGATAGTTACGACAGAGGAGTGAGTAATAAACTAAGTAGAACCAGTCGTGAGCTCATTTTTTACTCAGAAATCTCAAGAGAAATTGGTATCAATAATGGATCGAAACTACTACTGTTCCTTTTGTTTTTTAAAAAAATATTTTTATTAGAAATTAAGAGTATACAGATAAAACTGATAGACTACAAAAAATAAAAAGTAAAAAAAGTGGAAAAAATAGAATTTCCAGCATTCATACACCTTCCACAATTTATCACCATCCCTTAAAATACAACAAATAAATTCTTCACCCCACATGTCACCTCGTTCTCTAAACATATCTATAAAATGTCATCTTCCATCCTAATCAGCAAGTCTGTTAAGAGTTACCAGAAATAACTATATATTTGTTATAAACTTAATCTAATAAGCTCGCTCAGTTTCCTTCCTTTACATTTATATCTATTTAACTCTTCTTAAATCCCCAAATCTCATCAATCAAAAAAAGTCACCAAGAAACTAAATGAAGAATTAGTAACATAACCATTTTGAAGTTAATCAAATACATTTAGAATACAGGAAATAATTTCATATAACACATTATCATTAAAACAAAACCTAAATGTTTTCATAATTAAAAAAGAAATTAAATATTCCCAGAAATGGAAATCTTATCCCTAGAGCAAAATCCTTCAAACGTCATTTTCCAGATCTAGTGCAAAGAAATGGTAAAATCTGGTAACCAAGGTTTTGGTGAGTGATTGTCACTAAGACAGTATTATTCTTGTTGTTGAAGCATTGCACTGATTGCTGAGGGCAACTAGGTCCAATTCAAAATGTTTTCTTTGAGCATTTAGGATCCAGAAGGTTGTGCAAGGTAATGTTATTATTTGGGCTATTTTACATTTTATGCGGTTATTTTAAACAAATACATCTTCCCCAATAGAGTGGGGGGTTTTGCCAGAAATTGGCAGGAAAGCTTGCAAATTGCAGTTGCCAGATACCTGAATTGTGATCACATGGCTGCAGGAATAGCGCAACATTCGTTAAGTGTGAGTCCAGGGAGTAACTCACTTTTTCTGAAGACACTGTAATTTTGAACTGTTCTTAAACAAAATGTTGTAAGCCAAGGAGTATCTGTTTGTATATTTGTAAGAGGAATATGATGCCAGCCCATGAAGCATGGGTTTGTAAGCAATATCTTTTAATGACGATATTCCATTTCAGGGAAGTGATCTGTAGCCCATAGAGATGTTTTTGGTAGCAACCCCCATATTACAAAATAGCTTCCCTCTATGCAGTTGATCATACCCTCATATATTTTTTTTTGGCATACTGAAAATTAATGAAATTAAACTCCAGACATAGCCGTGTTGGAAGTTCTTTGGATAGCGACTGCTAGCTATTGTTTGATGATTTTCACGTTATGGTGAAAACTGCTGGGAGTCACCTCCTGTTTCAATAAAAGAGCATGTTTTTGTTTCCTCTTTCTAGAATTCCTCTTTAGTGTTGACCAATTTTCTGCCAGCCAATAGAAACAATAGCAATAGCCCTTAGACTTATATACTGCTTCAGAGTACTATACAGCCCTTCTCTAAGCAGTTTACCGAGTCAGAGTTTACAGAAATAACCCCTTTTTTATTCCTTTTATTCCCACTCAGGATTTGGAGAATCAGATGCACATTGCTGAGCAGAGGAGGCGGACTCTGCTGAAAGATTTCCATGACACATAAGGCCGCGGGAGCTACCAGGGCACAGAGCTGAGAGCAAAGTAGCAAGATGGCGGTGCAAGCAACGAGGGAAGCGATCAGAGGAACTGGCCACCGCCTTTCCATAAAACAGGGCTGAGGACATCACTGCACCTTCCCCTTGCAAACCAGACATGAGCTAGCACCACCGCTTGGTCTTCTATTTTTCTTCTGTTTTCTGCTTTTTCATTTTTGGCAGGTAGAGGTTGAAATTCAGTTGGGATTTTTTTCCTGGGACATGTTATTCCCCAGTTCTTGAATTGTTTTAGAGGGGAGTTTTATTTCCCCTGCCCCCTCCTGAATGGCTGTTAATAGTATTAGATCATTATAAACTTCTGTAATTTTTCGACAGTTGTACAGTGATACAACAGTGGTTGATACAAAGTGAACTCTAGAATAACACAGACCCCTTTTTAAAAATAAATTGGGACTGGAGAGTGTTTCCTTTTTTTTTCCCTTTCAATAAGCAGTTTGTAAACTTAATGGCTTACTTCTCTTTCCACATCCCCAAACTCACTTTGCCATGAAGGTTATGAAATAGTTGTTTTCCCCCTTTCTGGGCACTTTCTTGCTTGTCCTGGGAGTGCATGAAATGAACAGGGCCTGGGCCAAGCAGAATCAGCAGTTGCCAAAGGACAGCATAACTGTTTAAAGGTTCTTCTTCTTTGACCGGGCTGGAGCAATAGGGCAAAGCTCAAGGCAGCATGGGACAGTTCTAGTCTATCAACACGAAGTTGATCTCCTGCATGGATTTATTGCTTTGTTTTGTTTCCCTGGACTGCTACCTACTGCCAGATTTAAAATACTTAGAGGTGTTCAGGGAGCATAACCTTGCTTCTTGGCAGCATAAGAATGAACATTAGTTTTGTTTAGGGCAGTAGACCCAGCCATGTCTGGGCCATAACTTGCATATCTCTGTAGCTCAGTCCTGCGCAGTCTGATTCTTCGGGTGGCTATAAGGTGATTCCTCAGAGTTGATCTCTGCTACCCTAACAAAAATCAAACTTTCCTACTATACCAAGGAAAAGTTAAATTCATTACTAAAAGAAAAAAGAAAAGAAAACACACCAGCATACGTCAGATTCTGCTAAACAGCCACCACTGTTTTCAAAACTGTTCTGCTGCTAGCTGAAAAGTAACCAGCAAAAAACATTGGGAATAGTCCATAATTACTATTAAGGTTCATAGGTGGCTGCTTACTGGCAGAGGTTTGTTAACTCTTGAAATGTGTTTAATGTCAACAGTTCCCATTTAGAGGCCAGCTTTTAAAATGTATAAAAGTAGCTATATAAAACACATAATTTGGTTCTGCTGATAGATCTGTCTAGAAATGGAAGATGGAGCTGCCATTTCCTGAAGCTGCTCCAATCGATGTCTTGAAACAAGAATTTCCTTGCATCCATGTTTACAAGAGCAGGTTGCACTGAGATTTTCTGTGTGCATTGCTTGTGACCATTGGGATTGGGATTAGAAAACTTTACAAGAATCATTTTCTGCTTATGACACCTGTTTTCCTAGCCTTTCGGTGAAAGTTATTTTATTAGCATTTTAGATTTTGTCCTAGCTTTTGGAGGTCATCAACCAAGCCATCATCTTCCATTCAGCTGCTGCTGCTGCCACTACTACCTCAGGCACTTCAAGGAAAATGATAAGCTTGTTTCCTAGACCCTAAGTCCTAATATGACTTCTCCGTTCCCAGTTAACTTCAGATTAAGCCAGTGGGTGGAAGAAGTAAAAAGCTTGTTGGGTACGTAGAGAGAAAGTTAAATTTACCCAGATTCACCCTTGCTCTTTCTCTTTGCCCATTCCACTGAACCCTGGTAGCATATGTGGTATGATGACCTCAGCAGGCTTGCTCTTTTAATCCATATCTTTGTCAAAAACAGAGATCATGCTTGTTTTTCTGGCTTAAATGTTTTAATTTCTCTGCATGAAAACCACTGCTGGGCTTTGAAACTTAGAAGCAAGCAAAACCTTTTATCAAATGCAAAATGTTCAGTGTGTGTGTCAGGCTCTGCTTACTACGATATTTGTTTGTGTTAATTCTGTTCAGTGTTAGCACAAAACTATTGGCCTCTTGATAGGGAAAACTGCGGGCTTCCTAACTTCCTCAGTAATGCTGTCTTTATCTTGCTTGCTTGCTTACACAAAGTTCAGATTTTGAGGGAGGTGAGCATCTTTTTCTCTTGGAACTTTAAAGTTCAGACTGAGCTGTTCTGCTCATGAAATTAACTCAGATAAAGCATACATGTTTCTTGTTCAGAATTCTCCAGTGCAAAAGAGTGGTGTTACTTGCTATAGCTGGCAAAATACCTGCGATAGGTTGAATTTACAGTAGCACTATCACGACTTGCAATGGCAAAATTTTCTCTGTCTGCAAAGTTTGGCATATTATATTATTCAGATGCTTAGATCCAATCTCACATGGTGTGCTAAGATGTAGTATATACAATTGTCACATCACATAATGCAACATATTGAAGACAGGCTTCTGCTTGCTTAGGAGAATACTCTCACCTTTTGGTCTCTGTCAGCCCTCTGTGCCCTCCAGGGTTTCGGGAGAGATGGCTGCACAGAGAGGAGGAATGTACTCAGCTGATGGGTGACAAATACAATTAGTTGTCACCACACAGCTGCTCCTAAGTTTGGAATCACTAGATTCATCCCAGAGTTTAAAGATCAGTGGATTCCCTACCTCTTTTTCTTATCTTCCCTGTTCTAGAACAGCACAATGATTGGGTGCTATCTAAAAGTTTTTATCATTGGTAGAAAACAGCCCTTCCTCTAGAAATATGTTCTCTTCACTCTGTAGCATTTTTCAAAGTGAGCCTACAATAAATAAATAAAAACCTTGTTAGAAAATTTCACTTGGTGTTGGAACGGACTGTAACAAAAGGGCATCTAAGCCAAAGGGAAGTCACTACATTTCCCTCACGGCAGGTTCACATCCTATACTAGGAGTTTTCGTCTTCCTCTTGTTCTATCAGGCTTAGCCTAAGCCAACCTGGCAGCTATTTTCATCCTTCACTCTGCATGTTGAGATTGTTGGCTTGGCTTACCCTTGATCACAATGTTTATTTCACTTAGTTTGGTTTACTTTTTAAAATTCCCTCTCACAACCTGCCTTCCTCCTTTCTAAAAGAGAGGTACAGAAAGCTAAGGCAAATAACCACCACCTGATAGTAAAACACCGAAGTACATAGATAGTATTCAATTCTCCTGTCCAGTAGAATTCTGTACAGGTCAAAAGCTTTCAATACAGACAGCGGTAGAGGCTGTGCAGATAAAGGAGAGATTCTGTAACCAGTTTTATGCTTGTACTCTTCTAGCATTCATTCTGTAGCAGTAAAATTACAAATTTTCTTTTAACACCTAATGCCATGCTAGTGTTACAGAAAGAACGGAAGACTTTTTGTTACTGTACTGTCTTGATCCATTTAAACTCGTGTTTCTGTTTTTCAAAATTCAACTTCACACTTTAGTAACTTTTTGTAAAAAAAACAAACTTCTTATGTGCTCGCTCAAGTCTGGACTGTTCCAAATTTTCAGGTAGTAGCTTCTGCTATGGAAGCTTTTTTTTATTACGCAGAGTGCTACATTATCATGGCTGCCTTTGCTCTGTCCCTCACTGAGATTTGGGGGAAAGCAATCTCAAGAAACTGCCAACACTTTTCCGGCATTAGGAGGGGAAAAGGGCAGAGGAGAAAGAGCCCTTTAAATTTTCCCCTCCTGAAATTGTTTTATTTGAAATAAATTGTGAATTTCTAATTTTAATTAAGTGTTCTGTGGTGTTTACTCTGGTTATGTTTTCATATTTATGTGATCTCCGTGTTTGAAACAAAATGACATTAATAGAGCAGGAAAAAGAATCGGGCAATAAAAAATGTTCAAGGAGCTTGAATATTTTCCCTATGAGAACAGGCTAAAAAGTCTGAGATTCCTTAGGTGGAAAGAAAAGACAGTTTTTATTCCTCTTATTTTTCAGTCAAGTATTTGTATTAGTTTATCAAAATATAAAATACAGAAATAAAAGAAAATGAAAATGGAGGAAAAAGAGAAGAGGGTAGAGGGGAAAAGAAAAAGAAGCATTGATTTCTGACTCCTTTTAGCACAGTAGCTAAGGTAATATACATAGAACCTCAACTTTTTACTTTTACATAATATATACTAGCCATTTCTATAACAACAATCCTATCTAATCAGCAAAAATGAATGAAATATTCTTATTAAATACTTTGTTCATTACATAGTTGAATGTGCTGACAACAAAATCACACAAAATTATCAATGGAAATTAAATTTAGCAACCCATGGAGGTCTGGATTTGGAGTTACACTCAAAATTAAAGTGGAAAAAAACACTACAGGCTGATCCAACTTTGATGTAATGTCCTTAAAACAAGTCAAAATGAGGCTCAGTAGTGTGTGTGGCCTTCATGTGCCTGTATGACCTCCCTACAATGCCTGGACATGCTCCTGATGAGGTGGTGGGTGGTCTCCTGAGGGATCTCCTCCCACACTTGGACTAAAGCATCCCCCAACTCCTGGACAGTCTGTGGTGCAATGTGGGGTTGGTGGATGGAGCGAGACATGATGTCCCAGATGTGCTCCATTGGATTCAGGTCTGAGGAACGGGTGGGCCAGTCCATAGCATCAATGCCTTTGTCTTGCAGGAACTGCTGACACACTCCAGCCACATGAGGTCTAGCATTGTCTTGCATTAGGAGGAACCCAGGGCCAACCGCACCAGCATATGGTCTCACATGGGGTCTGAGGATCTCATCTCGGTACCTAATGGCAGTCAGGCTACCTCTGGCGAGCACATGGAGGGCTGTGCGGCCCTCTAAAGAAATGCCACCCCACACCATTACTGACCCACTGCCAAACCGGTCATGCTGGAGGATGTTGCAGGCAGCAGAACATTCTCCACAGCGTCTCCAGACCCTGTCACGTCTGTCACGTGCTCAGTGTGAACCTGCTTTCATCTGTGAAGAGCACAGGGCACCAGTGGCGAATTTGCCAATCTTGGTGTTCTCTGGTAAATGCCAAGCGTCCTGCATGGTGTTGTGCTGTAAGCACAACCCCCACTTGTGGACGTTGGGCCCTCATACCACCCTCATGGAGTCTGTTTCTGACCATTTGAGCAGCCACATGCACATTTGTGGCCCGCTGGAGGTCATTTTGCAGGGCTCTGGCAGTGCTCCTCCTGTTCCTCCTTGCACAAAGGCGGAGGTAGCGGTCCTGATGCTGGGTTGTTGCCCTCCTACGGCCTCCTCCACCTCTCCTGATGTACTGGCCTGTCTCCTGGTAGCACCTCCATACTCTGGACACTACGCTGACAGACACAGCAAACCTTGCCACAGATCGCATTGATGTGCCATCCTGGATGAGCTGCACTACCTGAGCCACTTGTGTGGGTTGTAGACTCTGTCTCATGCTACCCTAGAGTGAAAGCACCGCCAGCATTCAAAAGTGACCAAACCATCAGCCAGAAAGCATAGGAACTGAGAAGTGGCCTGTGGTCACCACCTGCAAACCACTCCTTTATTGGGGATGTCTTGCTAATTACCTATGCTTTCCACCTGTTGTCTATTCCATTTGCACAACAGCATGTGAAATTGATTGTCCATCAGTGTTGCTACCTAAGTGGACAGTTTGATTTCACAGAAGTGTGATTGACTTGGAGTTACATTGTGTTGTTTAAGTGTTCCCTTTATTTTTTTGAGCAGTGTATAAGATAAGATAAGATAAGATAAATTTATTGTCATTGTACTCAGGACCTGAGAACAACGAAATAAGGTGCTCTTTCACAACTTACAACTGAACAACACCAATGTGAAATTACGCATGAAAACCAGCTGTGTGACTTGGCCAGTCACTCACAGGCCAAGTTGCCATAGAGGGGATGGTTCTGGGGAAAATGAGAAGGAATACAGGTTGTCTTCAACTTGCAACCATTCATGTACAAAGTCACTATAAAAAATAATTTTTATTTTCCACACTTAAGATTATTGCAGCCTGGTCATGTGATCAAAATTTGGATGCTTGGAAACTGGCATGAATTTATGAGTGTCCCACGGTCACGTTTTCACCTTTTGCAACCTGACAAAGTAAATGAGGACAACCAGATTCATTAAACAATCCTGTTACTAACTTAACTGCAATGCTAACTTAACAACTGTGGCAAGAAAGATCGTGAAATGCCGCAAAACTCTCTCAGTAACACATTCTGGGCTCAATTGTGGTTGTAAGTCGAGGACTACCTGTATTATTAATTCCTAGTGTTACTTATACAGTAATAAAGGCAGGATAAAAATCTAATAAATGTTGCAGTCAGCGGCACGGTACTAGTTAGCAAGAAGAAATCAGATGCAATGTAAACAGCAGTAACTTAAAAAGATTCTGCCAGCCCAGATATTGTAAGCACAGACTGAGTCTTAAAATTACCATTTTGACATTTTATGATGAACAAACTCTTCAAAAGCACACTAGAGATTAGTTTAAGTTTTTGCCGTTTTTGCTTTTTTGCCAGAAGTTTGCTTTAGAGATGCAAAGATAACGCCGGAGGCCTTTTGCCCTTACTAAAAATGGTTCCCGATTCTGAGCATGAAACCGACGACACCCTATTCAAAAATGGCTTCCTATGCTACGGGTAATGAAGGAACGAGAGCGACTGTCGAGTTATTGGCGCTAAAATGGCTGTTTCTAGGCGGATAAAATCCCAGCCTTCAAGGCACGGCAGCCTCTTCCTGTCCGAGTTCGTCTCGCACCGCGGGTCGGACCACATCTCATTCAATCTAGGCCGGTTGGACCGGAGAGCCGCAGCCACTCTCGCTTCGTGTGCGTGGTGACTTCACGCCGTAGCGTGATGCTCGGAGGAGAGTTTCCCAGCCGCGCTCGCGCGTGGTTGCCGTGGTAACGCTTCACCGAGCCTCGGCCTAGGATGGCTGCGGCGGCGGGGGCAGCGGTGGCGGCGGCGACGGCCGAGCCGGACGATGGGCCTCTCTTGCCAGGCGCTCCCGTGGGACGACGGGCCGTCTGCTCCCGACCCTACTTCGTCGTGCTGATGGTGTTCGCGCATCTCTACGTGATCAACGTGCTGGGCTTGCTGCTCTTCGTGCATATCAGCTCCGACGATGGTGGGGAGCCGAAGCCGAGGAAAGAGGCTCAGCCTGGCCCCGTCCAGGATGCGCCCCCCGTCCTGCCCGTTTCTGCGGGCAACTTGGACCCTCAGGCTCTGCCTCGCCTGCAGGGCATTAAGGCAAGCGCTTTTCCGCTGGGTTTCGGGAGGGGAGGCGAGGAAGGGAGGGCGGGGGGTCGTGGCTGCTTTTGCAGGGACTCTTTTTAGCAATACTACCGTAGCTGTTCTACTCTTTTTTTTCCTCTTATATGTATCCATTTCATGTATTCATAACTATGTTTATACTTATACCTGTTACCTTGTAATCGCTTATATACCGCTTCACGGGGCTTTTTACAGCCCCCTCTAAGCGGTTCACAGAGTCAGCCTATTGCCCCCAACACTCTGGGTCCTCATTTTACCCACCTTGGAAGGATGGAAGGCTGAGTCAACCTTGAGCCTGGTGAGATTCGAACTGCCAAATTGCAGGCAGCCGGCAGGCAGCAGAAGTAACCTGCAGTACTGCACTCTAACCGCTGCGCCACCTTTTGTCAGTTTTTGCTCAAAGTAAAGTTTTTTTTAAGTGGGGAGAAGCCAGTCCCCCACCTCAGAGGAGCAGGACTAAGTCCAAGCTTTCCTCCATCAGGTGACTGTGGCCGCTTGTCTTTTGAAGTCTGTATCCCCTCCATCCTGGGCTATCATGTTCCCCAGTCACCCCAGTGAGAGAGGCAGTCTTAAAACTATAGCATATGAAAGGTGTCTGTTTGGAGAAAGCCTCCTAGGATGTTTCCTGTAGTCATCCATTTGCTATCTCACCTTGTGATCATAATGCAGGGAGTCCTCGACTTACAACGGTTCTAAACTTGTTTTCCTACTGGCTAAAAGAAGCATTGTTTGTGTTATAAGCTGCCATGAACAGCTCCACTATTCTGGCATTCTCCAAAGATTCTTTGCATATGTTTCAACATGGGGTCTTAATCAGCACGGAAAGTATGTTGTGTGCATAAACAAACTATCAGTATTGTTTATTTCATTTCCATCTTCATTCCCGGCAGTACTTAACGAACTTTTACATCAGTAATATTTTATCAAATTCATACATTGTTCATATCCAGTGAAAAGAGTTTAAATTTATGCTTATTTTTAGGCATGCTGGTGTTTGTGTATCTTTTTTATAGTTTAATTAAACATGCTACTGCTCAATTGTGTCCTGTCTGAAAAGCTTAAAGTTTTCTGATGACTAGGTGAAAGTTTTTGACCAAATCACAACCATAACTCTTTTAACATGTATGTGACATAATTCTATATATAGATTTAAATCAGTTAATTCATTACTTTACTATCTTTTAAAGGTGGGCCATAAACAGAAGTTGCGACTGGTTCCTAA